TTCATTCTTGTTTAAATCTTATTGTTTTACAGGTATACATTTAGCAACGTCCTATATCCATTTTCTAAACTAAATATATAAGAATTATATTATATATAAATTGACGGAGAAATCTCTGTAATGTTAAGAAGAACAAAATAGCAAGATGTCTTCTAATGCTTACAAAAGAAGAGCATCACTTATGTGTATGACCCATTCCAACTGAAATGTTTTCTTTGTGGGATTAAAAAAAACAGAGCGCAGGGAAACCAGCTACAAAGAATAAAAAAGCTGAAACTCGGTGTTAATAAACAGGAGCCCCACAGAATCAGCAAGAAACATGCCACAGGATGGGTCGAAATTCCCAGCAGCGTATTCGAGATTTTCTGGGTAGAAATGGTCAACACGTAGAGCATATAATTCAGATAGCCACGACTTTCCATGAATTTGTTTGGCTATGTCAGTTTCAAATAAATGTGCTGTTTAATGCATAGATACGTGTAACATTTGATTCGAAAGAATTTTTAAAGTTTAGCGCTGTACTCATTTCATTTGATAAACTTGGTATTTTTAAAATATGTCGTTTGATTCCTTTTTAGTGATACTGATGAATTCAATGGTTCTTTGGTTGAATTTTATTTGTTTGAAGTGTTGTTGAGATCGGTGCAAAGACAGCCATGTTATTGCTCTTTAGATTGGCCCTCTGTTGTAGCAGGGTTCAATGGAATAAGGGGCTCGTCTATTTTGAGGCATAGAAAGATATCAGTATAATCCTAAAGCCTTTTAGTTTGCCCTGCTTTAGATGAACAAGGTATCCAACTATCTTGAATAGAAGTTCATATTTCCTGCCATTTGAAGGGAGTGGGGATTGTCTGTGTCATAGCTAGAGACTGAAGAGACACTGACAGCCAAAGTTTGGGGACTTCCAAAGCCTGAGTGTTCTTGAATACTCCAAATTCACATTTCTTCTGCCTTTGATCAACGTTTTTCAGTAAAAAGTCCAAACATGTATGTTTTTATTGGACATAAAGTTGTTGAGCTCCCCC